TTTTTTTTAATTCAGTGCTGGAAACAAGCTTCCATAAAAATACGCATGTAACGCCTGAATCCAACTAGCTATTTTCTTAGTTTTATTTAAAAACTTGTATTTTGTGCAATGCACATGCAAACGAATATGTGAATCGGATTGCAAAATTTAAGGTTCATATAAACTTTCAAAATCTGAAATTAGATTGCATTTTTTTCGGATTAATGAAAAATAGTGCATGTAAACATACCTAGTCACTTGTTTCATCTGGGAATGAATCAGTGTTTTTGAACGAATCATTTGAGTGAATGATTTATATGACTCCCTCATAAAGACAGAACAATGTTGAATAATTAGCCTTTGGTTTATCATTAGTCTGTGTGTTAAAAGATACATCAAATAATACAATTATTATTTCATTATTTATCTATAAAATATTTTTTCTTTTATGTGTAGGGTTAGGGTTAATATGCATGTGTGGGATGTTGCAGTGTCAGGCAGAGAGGGTACTGGGTTGACCGTGTGTGTGTGTGTGTAAGCTTGAGGATGCTACTGATGTTATCAGTCTCATCAGAGCATGAAGCTTTAACAGTGCAGTGCCGCTCTGTACTGCTGTCCTCTGGACCTTAGGATGATCTTATCCACTCACTCATAGGCAGTCCTGGATGGTGGAGGTCAAAGGTCATGTGCCATGCTACAAAACAGAGAAAATGAGTCTGTGTAAGAAAGAACAGAGCACAGCGGGGATTTCCTGGAGTGTTTTTCACTCTGATTTACCTCCCACGTTCATTCCTCCAGGCTGAACGGTACTGTCAGCCAGTCAGTTCGGACTGCCAATGAACAGGAAGTGAAACTGAGAGAATCAGACTGATGGCACAGAGGATAACGAAGAGATAATTAGGTGTGATGGAGAGAGCAATGGTGTTGATTACTCTATCATAAAATAAGCATTCTGGCTGAGATGATCTGTTCATTTTTATCTAAAGTAGTGATTTTGTAGATGTTAACTTTCTCCTCCTTTACTCCAGTCTTCAGTGTCACATGATCCTTCAGATGTCATTCTAATATGCTGATTTGGTGCTCAACTTAATAATGTACAGTATGAAAAATGTATAATTATTTTGAGGTTTGTCAAAGATAACGTTATTAGTAATTCTTTGTGATAAATTTAAATGAGCATTAGATGACGGCAAATGTGATCTAAATGTAAAAATTATACAAAAGGCATGTAGAATTAAATATCCAATATTAATCAATACTGATAATGGACTCCAACATCATGGCAGCGTGTTCTGCATGGACAAACACCACTCACATTTTCTTCAGACCACCTCCATCATTTTTCTACTGGGATTTGGATTGATTTCAAATTGACGTAATTTGTTTAGTGAAATGGAAACACCTCAGTTATTCGCAAGCTGTCTTTCTTATTTTGTCCAATGACAAAAACAGATTTTAATGTTAAAATGCCTCTGTAAATCCAGCCTTCGGTGTGAAATGTTGCTGAGTACAGTGTGTGCAACCCCAGCTGCTTTTACTGAGTAAACTGACAGAATGTTCCTGCACAGATTGAAGGAAACAAAGTGGTTTGGATGATTAGCTCATTGAAGTCTGTTGCACGTTTGGCATTTGCTGTGTCGAACTGCATGTGATGGGGAAAATAGCACATTGTGATGCCGCTGAATGTATTTAGAGGTAATGTGTGGATATGAGGTCACGTCCCATAGGAAGGTCCTCGTGACAGACAAGAAGCGGGATGAGTGTTTTATTTCCAAAAGGAAACTGTGTCCAGCTTTGGCCTCTTCCTCACACATCCAGCCTCCGTCTAACGGTTTTTCTCTCTCTCTTTTTCCTCTCCATTCAGGTCAGAAAACCGACTACTGCCTTGCCAGGTGAGTGCTGTGGGAAAGCCAAGCCAACAAAACCAAACAAGATGCAAACATTTATGCTCAAGAATTAATTTAGCACACATGCAGATGTCTCAGGGCCATTTATAGATGAATATCTTGTCTAGACACATTCATCTTTTATTCACATCTGCTGATTTATTTATTGAGGCCAGTAGTAGGTGATTTACTCTGCAGTTATAATGGAGTACGGAAATGGGAACGGACCTTTAAACAAGAGTTCACAGAAGAGACAAAACAAGTGCTTTCACAACAAACACTACTGAAAGCCTTTCTGTGTGTGTGTTTAAGGCCAGTGTATTAAAATAGGACCCTTCTCGGGAGGGTAATTTCTACTGGTCTAATGGCCACAGGCAGTTTGTAAATTGAATGTGGAGGGAAATTAGAGGGAAAATTATCCATCGTAATGACAGAGCTTTCTCTTTTTCTTTCCATCGCTCTCTTGCTTGTGTCCATCAGCGGACGGAGGAACTCCACTGTTTGGAAACAGGTAATTATCACCAGTCACTGGTAGAACTGACTCAGAATTGATTCTGGATCAATCCACTAAAGATCATAATCAGTTACTGTTGAAATCCGTATGCAGGACAAAACATTACAGTGGTGTGCAGTGCTGGGAAAACGATGTATGTCATAAAATAGTGTGCTGCCACTGTGAAAACAAACAAAACTTTACATAACTTTAAACTTCAAGTGCAAAAAGGTGTTAGCTGTTCACTTTATATTTAAAGGAAATGTGTTCACTCAGGACATAGTTTGTCATACAATTGAAACTGCTACAGCAAACAAGATGTGCACTATGTGTTTATGAATGGGTTGTATGTTTGTTTGTGTATTTCTTTAAGTATTTATTTATATTGATGTAATTTATTATTTATTTATTTCATGCATTTGTTTTCCTTTTTTTGTTTGTTTATGCTCATTCTGATGTGGCCTTTTATTTACTCAGAGCAAAAGACACTGATACTAGGTTATTATTATTAATTTATTATTTTTCTTTTTATGCAATTATTTTTATTTAGCTGGAATGAAAGCAATTATTTGTACTGAGACAATGCTTTTTAGATTTTCAGTCTCCCCAAACAACCCATAAAAAATAGTTAAAATAAATAATTCATAATCTAATTAAATCAATAAATTAATTTAATTAATAATATAATTAAATAAAATAAATACTAAAATAATTAGTCTAAAATAAATTACTAAATAAATAAATGTAATACATGAAATAAAGATTATATTAAAATAAATAAATAGTATGAATACTGTTTATTCATTTAATAAATAGTATTCATACTATTTATTTATTTTAATATTATTATTGTTATTTATTATATTATGAATCTATTTATAATTAAACAACAATCAAGGACATCAGAGTTCAATGAGGTCACTCTCCTGATAAACAGTATATACATACAGTGGG